GCAGGGGGACTCCCTGCCCTGCAGATGTGCCCCAGCTAGCGGGGGGAAGGGGAGGGAGCGGGGGGAGAGAGAGAAGGGGGGCGGCCAGGGATTCAGCGGGGCACTGCCACGCGGCCCCTCCCGCCGTGCCCCCTGCCGGGAGAGCTCCGCACCGCTCCGGTCGGTTGGGAGGGAAGGACGTGGGCTGCCGTGCCGGGCTTGCTGCAGGGCACTCCCGTCCTCCACGCTGCTGCCCCCTACAGGGCGGCCGGAGTGGAACAACAACAACAACAACAACAAAAGCAGCCGTGCCGCCCTAGGATTGGGCGGAATGCCGCCTCCTACAAGCTGCCGCCCCAAGCACCAGCTTGCTCGGCTGGTGCCTGGAGCCGGCCATGTCTGCTTGGGAGCTTGCTGCTGAGTTTTCTTGTTCTTTAATTTGGACATTGCTTTCCTCTACAGCTGAGCTTGGCAACTTGTTATGAAGACGACAAGGGTCAAACTCTCATGATCTGTAGTGGAAGGGTGTTCCAGACTTTTGGATCTGTTGTTGAGAAACTCTTTCTGGCTGTGCTGTGACTGGTATCTGACCACATAATGACTGATACTGTATAGGACAGAGCTGTGTCTGCTATTAGTCTGCACAGTGATTGGTACAGTACCTGATGTCAAATTGCCAAGTACCTCATCATGAAATGATGTATGAGTGCACTGTGTCTGGTATTTGACTACACAGTACTTAGGGTCTTCTAAACAATACTAGCAGGGGGGAAATGGTCCCAGTAGTATAGCAAATAAATGCCAGATGTTTATGAGATAGAGTTGCCTATGATGTGAAGCCAGGAAATACACTCTGTTGTGGATAATACTTATGTCCTGCACTGTATGCTAGCATTGTATTCATAGCCCCACTGCCTGCCTGCCTGCCTGCTGTATTTCTAAAATGGCTATTGTTTTAGTATCCAAGCACCAAACAATAGTTATGAAGAAGGCTTGAGTGGTCATAAAAGATGTTTTACTCTCTCCTTCCCTCAGGCAATGGGTGGATTTTTGTTTTTGTGGAAGTCATTGCTGAGGAGACTTCATCCAAAGGTGGTATATGTTGGGATCAGAGTATGGTCAGGCTGTGGCTTGGTCCGATCTCCTCTGGCCAAGGGTTTCATACCTGGGTTCTGTTGCTGAGAATGCTCTGCTCCCTGAGCCTGAAAGACTTATCCTGAGTCTCTCCAGTACAGGAGCCCAGCTGGCTTGGATAGTCTCTGACAGTAAGGCTACTCTGAAGTAATCTAACCCCGGATTGTAAGAGCCTTGTAAATTAGAGACAAACCATGAATTTGGGCCTTAGATGAAGGGGGAGCCAGCAGTTTCACACAGCACTTTGCATCAGCTTTTACTACTTGTGAGGTGGGACACTGTGCTGCAGCAATTGCAGCCTTCATTTGACAATTACATTCAGCCCCAGGTAGCATGAATAGAATAATCTAACCTGAAGGCAATGAAAACATGGACCATGGTGGTCAAAACATTGTCTAAAAAGAGAGGGAACAGCCTTCTGACCCACCAAAAATGTAACAAAGGAATTCCTTTCTACTGTGGCGATCAGTATGTCCACAAGTCGAGATGAGTCCACCACAGCCCAAGGATCTGCACTGCTTTGATGATATGTGGCCTGCTGCCCTCAGATGATGGTGAGGTTAGAGTATTTTCTTCTTTCTGCTAATATTACTTCTGTGTCTCAATATTTGAGTTTGAGCCAACTACTTTTCATCCATCTATTGATTTCTCCCCTGGAGATGGCTCAGGCTGCCACAGTGGAGAAACTATATTGATCCTAGCATCTAAAATCCTTATCATGATTTATCTCAGAAACAGAACATTGCTAATACTTCATTTTCATTTGGATTAAAGTTAGTAGTGGATTTACAACTCCCTGAGAAGTTGGCAGGCACCATGTTGATTTAATTTTAACCAGTGATAATGGGACTTTTCATGAAAACAAGCTTATGGGGGCAAAAAAACAAACTGTTGAGAACTTTAGGTTACAGACTGGCTTTTCTGTTTGAGGGGTGCTGAGAGGGGAGCGGTGGCCATCGAGCAGAGGTTCCCTTCTGCTTGCACTGGCAGGCAAAGGGGAGCTGGAGACTGGACAACATCCCAAATCACTGTCTGTGCGCCCTTGGAAACGAGAAGCACATCTGGGCACAGTACCCAGGTTGCCTGCCTTACACTCAAAGTGCTAGGTCACCATTCTGCCTGGCCCCTGGGGGGGGGGGGGGGGGAGGGAGGGCAAGAGGCCCCTGAGATCTCTTCCCTGCCCAGAACACCTGCAAAAGGTGAAGCACGTAGCCCTCAGTGTAACTCAGAAGCTAGTTTGACAGTGTAACAAAGTTTCCCCTTCACTAGGAATACATTAAGAAACAGGTGGAGTGACTGGCCATACACTGGCTCTACTGTGGCCATGAGAAGGGATGGCTTGGTGTCCATTTGGTGTCTGAATTTCACTTCTCCGTGGCCTGACCTCTAGCTATCCCTCTCATCTCTACTTCCTGTATCAGCATGGATTAAATGGATGCTTCCTGCATCCCTCAAGCTCCTCCAGAGTTAAAATAAACAATCCAAATCACTGCAATATCCATCCTGGTATCTGCTCGAAATAGAACCTCCAGTCTTTCCTGGAAAGCCTGAAGAAGCTCAGATTCCTATCAGTGAGAGTACAATACAAATGTGGTTCTTTAGATGGGGAAGGTGATTCGTATTGGAAGGGTGATCTTAAAAGGCTACATGTTTCCCAAACACAAAAGGATCCTATAAAAAATGTGTTTCTTGGAACATTGTCCTGCCAAGGTCTGTTGTTCCTATCCTATTGGGATCCATATCTCATTTACAACATGCTCTTCATCTAATTTAGTTCCACCACTGGAGACCACTACCACCTCCCAATTTACACAGCCTTGAGGCCTGCCTTTCAAACTACTGCCAGAGAGAGAAAGAGAGTGAACAAAAAGGAAATAACATGATAGAAAAAAGCTATTTACCGGAAGCCCTGGTCTTCCTGTAGGGCCCTGAAATAAAACAGAAAAGGCAACATTGGCACAAAAACTGGGGTAGGAGGTAGGGAAAGCACTGATTAAAAAGAAGAAATCCAGTGTAAACAATGAGAAAACAGAATTGTTAAGTCATCAGAACAGCTCTCATACTAACTAGAGCTGATTGTTCCATTTTCCCAACCCATCTTTAAAGCTTTATTTCTATTTGGTATGTGTCTTTCACAGAGATTCCCAAACTGGGGTCTGTGGGTAACCGGTAGCCCATGGAGAGCTAGCTAGTCACATGCTTCTGAGTCTTCTCCTTGTTTCCATCTGATGAATATTAATTGTTCATGTACAGAATTTCTGGAGTTGCCATAGACATATTGTATAATCATGACTGGGAGGGAAGGTATCGAAGATGTGGTTCACACTATGAAAAAGTTTGAGAACCTCCAGACTAACTTCCTTTCTTTCTTTCCAATTACACATCTACAGGTTGCTGGCTTTCAAATTACCCTATCTACATCAAAATTGGTAGAGAAATGACAGAATCTGCCACTGGAAATTCAGAGTCTAGGACCATTCTAATTCAACGTGTAATTTTAAGTCCCTTCAGTTGCTCTGACAGTATATGCCCAAGAACGAGTACAACTAGGGAGTGTTTTAATCTTTTCTGTTTCTCATTTTTTGGAATTCAGCCTTGCCAATCCTATCCACCACTGTCATGTATCAGAAACAGCCCTGCAAAAACATAGCCCCTCAGTTTGGCCCTAAATGGTACAAGGTAAGAGCTGCTCCCATTTTGTTCAGCTCAGAAGTCTGAAACTTCACATTTACATGCTGTGAAATGTATAATAAACTGAGATTTTTGGTGTCTCAGCATTTCTGAGTTGCTGGCTGGATTGACATATGTGAAACCAGCAGCGTGGGAATCTGTTCCACACATCATAAACTAGTTCCCATCCATTTTAATCAGAAAAAAACACTGGCGAAAATCTTCAGCATGTAAACACCAAGTGCTTTGCTTAAATATTTAACAGTGAAGTTATGCTTGTGATTTTTGAACTGCTAGCACTTGCAGTCCCTTAAAATCTCCTGGCATTCTTAGTGAGAATAGGGCGTGGTTAGCCTGAGAGCCCAGGAAATATTCCACTTTGGTTAATTAAATTCAGCCCGCCTAATTTCATCTTGTTATTTCAATTGGCTACAGTATTCTCACTTCCTGTCCTAAACAGTTGTTTATACAGACAGGTTCAGGGGTCAGAATAAGCTGGTATACAGTAGCACATTGTGTCATCGCTTCTCTGGTGGTCCCATTTGTTTTTGCAGGATTTAAGCTTTCATTAGAATATTAAGTTTCTAGCCCTTATTGTTGCAAAGAAAACCTGTGAACTGATGCAGTGCTGTCTTCCTCTGCCTACAGAGACTGCTTGAAAGTTTTGCATTTGAGGGTTTGCAGGATCAGTATCTCAAAGGGAATGCAAATCTGTTCTGTAGCAACTAGTTCTCCTTAAAATGTCCTCTGTAAATAGTTTTATAAGCCTTGTTGCTTAAGTCATAACAGAAAATGAAATTTTTACACTTACCGACAAAAGATGACTACTGGATGTCTAACTGTCCAAGTCCCATTGCAGAGATCCAGTATGATTATTATGTTATACATTAATATAAAACAAGTTCCTTTATAAGGTCCAAAATGCAATAGTTACTGTATTCCTTTGTATCAATTAATAATATATGGAGATATACCTATCTCATAGAACTGGAAGGGACCTTGAAAGGTCATCAAGTCCAGCCCTCTGCCTTCACTAGGCAGGACCAAGTACTGATTTTTGCCCTAGATCCCTAAGTGGCCCCCTCAAGGATTAAACTCACAACCCTGGGTTTAGCAGACCAATGCTCAAACCACTGAGCTATCCCTCCCCCCCACAAATTAATGTTTGTGAGGATATTCCTTCAGTCTTTACAAGGCTTTTTCTGATTCATACCCTTCAAGGTCTCTTAGCAGAAATAATGAGTAACTAGAAACATTCTGGCAGTAGTTGGGACATTTTTCTGAAGTCTAAGTTGTCTGAGTTGAGTTTTTGCGTTTGGCTAACATTTGGAAAGGAAGCTGCCTACACAATTTTTCTTCAAAACTGATAATTGCACATCTAGGCCCAAACATTCAGCAACACTGGCTGAGTGGCGAAGAACAAGTTGCACAGGTATGCATTCAACATATATTTGCATCCATTTTTTAAAAGTATGTTGAATTCAGCGTATGGCATCCTATGCATGCAAATTGCACACTGTCATCCTCATTTTTGTACGTGAAAATAGTTGGGAGTATTTCTAGCCCTTCATATTCACTGTTTCTACCCTGTGAGCTTTCTCAATCCCATGCTGTGAGATTTCAGAATTGTGCAGAGCTATATGGGTGTGCCTGTGAAATCCCACTAAGGATCTAGGCACTATGACTGAATACAAAGGATATTTGGTGTTTGAGAGATTCTGGGAGATTTTAAAGGTAAACTTGGGTATTACATGGCATATGGGAGAAAATTGTTACTGCCAATTTCCCCTCAAGCCCCCTTCACCCCATTACCATCAGGTGCACACTTCGCAAACGCACTGGAACTTTGGTACTTACAGGAGGCCCTGAAAGAAAAGAAGAAGGAAAATAAACAGGTATTAGTGCTGTTATATAATAAATCCCGAAGACAAAGTTTAGATGACCACTCCTTACATTGCACTCACTCTCGTTCTCTCTGTGGACTGGATTCTGATCTCACTTATTCTTGTTCTACACCCAGGTAACTCCATTGTTGTCAGTGAATTCATCCTGATTTACACCACTGAAAACAAGATCAGAATCAGACCCCAAATTTCTCTCCTTCTCTCTGTCTTCTGCCTGTCTCTCACTCATTTTCATTTCAGGTTAATTGAAATCACTTTGCTGCCAAGAGCAACAAATTACAAATTTGTGAAATTTGATTTTTAAAACCTTTGAGGGTAAATATGATGAAATAAAATCAGGATGCTGCATCATTTACAGATAGGTTTAAAGACAGCTGAGTGTAGTGTGTCTGGTCAGTCTCTCTTCTGGTCAGACAATCAATATCTCCTTTTACCATAATTAAATAAGTAATCCTTATATTTATTTTTGCTGATCACTTTAATCCAGGCTGTGGGTAAAATCCAGAAGTGATATGTTAGGTGGTGTGAGAGGGGCCTTACTTACACTAATTTATGCTCAGTTAAACTCCCTGGAACCTCCTCACACTCTGCCAACATGTGAGGGAGGCTAAATTTGTTTAGCTTCCACAAGAAAGAGTTGTAAGAAGATATAAGAAAGGGTAAGCCAAAGTAGCTGCCATTCTGCTTGGACGTATGCCTTCTGGGTCTTCATCATTTAGAATCCCTTGCACATGAATAGAAGGTTTAAGGGAGTCTGAGTGTTAGGGGTGTAATATATACCACCTTAGCCATCACTGTCTTCTGTTGTCAGTCTCTTCTAATTTCTTTTAAAGGAGGAATTTCTGATTTAATGCTCTCTTCTCCTCCAGACAGTCAAGTTTAAAATCAAAAGGTAAAGTGGAGGGACTCTACAGAAATGGCCTTCTCATGGTCCATTGGACATACAGTATATGGGTGACCTTACGTAGAGATGATCTCACTTGGGGAGAGAAGACAGAGAAGGGTCTGTGGTTTATTACAAATGTGCTCTAAAATAAAGCCTGTCAGACTTTCTCAGATCACATCCCTAAATTCCAGGTGCATATTTGTTGTGGGATGAATTCTGCCATTCCTTAATACACTAAGCTCCCACTGATGTCCTCAGGCATTGCACTCATAACCTACGGCAGAATTTGTCCCTATAAGTTTACACTATGGCTTGAATGCTGTCTCAGTCCTGTATTGCAGAGGCTTGGGTTTTATTTAGAAGCATGCTTGCCAAAATCATGCTATAAACTAACTCTCAAGCTTGTCCATACCATGTGTTTTTTTCTTTTATCATGGCTGCAGCACAGTTGGCAGCTGCAAAGTATTGATGCTAATCATGACAAGCCTGTGCCAGCTATTGGCTATTGAGCTGATCCTGCAGCCCTCACTCATGTTGCTTGTCCTTTCTCATGCAATTTATTCCAATGGGATGTCTCACCTAAGTAAGGTTTACAGCATCTGCCCCTTTTTCAATCACAGGGACAAACCATCATGTGGACAGAACTTAAATCCATTTATTCACTGCCACGTGCACCCCTTTTTAACGAGTTTTGTGCCTTTCTGGGCAACAGCCTGACCTTCTGGAATATGTTGCATTTGAGAAAATAATAATAAAATCCAACTGCCCAGCAAATGCCACCAAATAGCAACTGTCTTCAATCTAGAAATTGCACCTAATTTATGCTCCCCATTTCTGTTTAAAGCTTTAACCAATTTGTCCTTTTCAACACAAAAAATTAACAGAAAAATCCAGTCTCTCTCTCTCTCTCTCAAGTTTCCTTCTCAAGTCAGCCACTGGTATTTTGGAGATGTTTGTGGCCTAGTGGAATGTTGTCTATTTTTGTGAGGAAAATGGAGACAGACATCCACTGTGATGTCATCACTTGTTACCGTGACCATTTGTATTATGTCACAGAATATTTTCAGCTGCCATTCAGCAACCTCATCTGCATCTCTTACTGAAATCATGGGCTGCTTGACACCTTGGCAGCTGATGTGATCAGATTGCAGTGAAGCATGCCAGACCTCTGTCAGCAGCAGCAGCAGCATAGTCTGCCGGTGCACTATATTTCACAACATACACTCTGCCCTGCTCCCTCATCCCCTTCCTCCCTCCCTCCCCCCCGCCTCGCCACTGCTCCATCCCACCTTTCTTTTATTACAGCGCAGTGGGCCATGTAGATCTCATTGTCTGAGAAATATCTCTTCACTCATTCTGTCACATAATAGGGAATGCCCATTCAGAAACTGGCATGGTGAATATATGTCTAAGCAGATGTGACACCATATGCAGCCGGCTTACGTTGGCCAATCCTTTATTCTAACCTAGCTGTATTCAGCACAAGACTGGAGCAAGGGATCAAAAGTGGTTTTAAACCATATTTATTTCCCCCTGATTCCATCTGCCAGGGACCATTTCACAAGTTAGAGTAGGTTCAGACGCTTCTAACTGATACCTGGCTGCCTGCAGACAAGGGACTGGTCCAGCAGCAGCCAGGGACTGCTGGGGCATAAGGATGCTGAAGCCACACCCTCTTTCCCTTGGACACACCCCAATGTCAGGGGAGTTCTTACGGATGAGATCCTCTAGCTTTACAGCTGCTTTGTGTCGCCAGAGTGACATAAATCAGGTGGAGCAGAGGACAGCTGAAGCCCATGCTAGTTCCTGGTGTAAGTTAAAGCAGCCTCAGGGCTGCTCTTACACACAGCTGTCTGTGGCCTTGAGGGGTCATTCTGGCAGTGGAGATTGCTCTGGCATAGAGATGCTCTGGCCTTGCCCACTTCCCCTGGGCCAGGCCCCCTACATTGGAAAGGGAGAGTGGAGTAGGCGATAGTACACTGGCTGTATGCCACCCACAGATTCACTTATCCTAGGGTATCTCCATTAATCAGTTAAGCCTGCATTATGGCTGCTTTATGACACCAGATGCAGTGCAAAGCAGCCATAAGGAGGCTGAGGACTGGGCCCGGTGTATTTAGTCAGCAGTCCTAAGCTGCCTCCCATGCCTCATTTGTTGCTGAAAGCCCAAACTCCAAACTTAACTTCCAAATTTTCCAGCTTCTCTCACAGTTATGTGTTGTCAGTACAAACATGTGTAGCACACTGAAACTACACTGAACTGAATTTCAAGATAAACACCACCAGATGCTACTGTGCTAACTGTATGATTCCTTTTCAATGGAATGTAACAAAACCCTCCACTTTTTAACTGGAATGAAGCTGCCACAGAAAGTCAAGGGGGCTTTCTTGAGCACAATACACAAGGCCTTGACTACTGGGGCCAAAACTATGCTCAGGCCTAATCCAGTCACTGTTCCACTGAGTGGTGGCAATTGGATGGGTCCAGCTCACCTTCAGATCACCCCAGGTCCATATTAACAGGGGCAAAACTATGGCAGAGTCCCTCTGGCTGTATGTAGAGAACTTGAAAATATCTGGCCTGCCATGCTTGCATTTCCCAACCTGACAAGCCATACTGCCCGCTGCTCTCTGACATGGGCAATAATTTGCTGATGGTTGGTTGGTTAAGGAGGAGACACTTGTTTATTATTTATGTAAATTGACCCACTGCCATTAACCTGGTGCTTCAACAGCCTTTGTTGATAAACCTTGTGCTGAGTGATTTCCCCTAGCACCAATTCTCACTCCCTCCACATTCAACACCATCTGACAAACAAAAAGGAAATGTGCTATGGTTGGTATTAACAAATATTTAACTTTTACACAGCAAGTTGTGTTGTAGATTATCTACACATCTGAGGAGAGATGGCAGACTGTGCACAACAGTCCAGAGGTACATGCTGGAAACAGCAAAAACAGGAAAAACTCTGACTAGAGATGGGGAAGCAACCTCCTTCCCCTCTGTGATTGAGATTTCAGGAGACAACCCTTTCATAATATAGCAAAATTGGGAATCCTGTGAAGTTCTCTACCTAACAATGGACACTTGGGGGATACGGGGCAGAAGGATACATAGTGGAGACAGACTCCCCTTTGGTTTCGGACAGAGAGAAGACGGTGGGTGAAAACAGCCCACCTAATCAGAGACAGATGCAGCACTCTCCAAGTCAGTGAAAGAGGGGAACTGTGGGGGTTGGACATGAGGAATGTTCTACCTAATGAGGTGGATGACCTTAAAAGGTGTAACCATAACTTTGGCAGCACACGGAGAAGATGTAAAAAACATCCATTCTCTGTTTTCTCTGCTGCACCCACATCCTTCCACATACCCCTGTTTTTCAGAAATGCTCCTGGCATGAGCATGCTCAACCAAAATAACTTTCAAACTGCCCTTTAACCTCCTTTCCAAAGAACAGCAGCTGAGAGTGTCAGAGCAGACAAAGCTGACGCTTACAACAACCAGAAAAAGAAAGCTGTGGGTAAAGAAAGAGCTAGGCTATAATAGCTCCTGCATTGCAATAGCTACCGTGTTTGTCTCTTTATTCCCAAATTACTCTGCTCATAGATATAGATTTCCACCCTGCCAAGCGCTACTGCTGCTGCTGGAAGCCAAAGAGTGGGAAATCTAGTCTTTAGTATTGAAACCAAACGTTGAACTTAAATAACAATTGGAAACACGAAAGAAACAGACAATGGGCCCAATCCTGCAAACTAAGATATGAGTAATTCTACATAAGTGCACAGCCCCATTAAATTCCTCATGTGAGTAAAGTTACTCAAGTGGATTTTGAGGATCGGGACTTATATTTGTAACCACCCTCATGCCCAATAAACCCCTTAGAATTTAAAACAGTCCAGTAGACATAAGGGAGGTAAAATCCTCCTGACTTGTATAATGGTTTATTACAAGCACCAGAGACCTTCCTGTTGGAGGGAACACAATAGCAAGGAAAGGGTAATGAACAAATTACAGCTATCAAATACATTGGATACCTTTTTCTTTTACTATATGCTAATTTCCGTATTTTATTTC